ATGCCTGTATAAGCAAGAACTTCCTGTTGTGTGGCTACAGAGGCTTAATTTAACTCAAGAGGCAGCGAAGTTTTATTTTTGATTAAAATTATGAGGCATACCTTTTGGCAAAGATTGTGATATTTTTGAAATGCTATAGCTCATTGGGGTAAATTCATGAGTTTTCTAACTGGAAGATGGTACATAATGCTCAGACATACAGTGGTACCTTGGTTCCCAAATGGCTTAGTTGTTGAACAAATTGGCTCCTGAACGCTGCAAACCTAGATGTAAGTGTTCCAGTTTGCGCATGTTTTTTGGAAGCTGAACGTCCGATGCAGCTTACGCAGCTTCCAGCTGAGTGCAGGAAGCTCCCGCGGCAAATCAAGGAACTGTTTCGGGAGTCAAACGGATTCCCAGAACAGATTAAGTTTGAGAACCAAGATGTGTGTGTGTGTGTGTGTGTGTGTGTGTGTGTGTGTTTACTATTTTCAGCAATTATATGTTCAAGGTGCAACTTGGTGTTACACAAGGCCTCTTCAGGTGACCTTCTATAACATGTTGGCAGTTGATATCTTATTCTTATCATTTGGTAGGATAAACACAGTGGGACAGCTCAGTCTTGAGTAGTTCTGCATAGCAGATGACAAACTGTGTTCCAGTTGATGGAGAACCTGCGCGTCCCCAACCCCCAATCTTCCTTGGTTGCAATGTCCATTATCTCTTGACTGTTAGTCATACTAACTGGGACTGGTGGCAATTTGAGTCCAATAACATCTAGAGAGCCACAGATTCCCTACCTCTCATTAAAAATTTCCTCATATCTCATAGCTCAGCTGCTGCAACTTCTTGTACATATGGGAGCCCTGATGTGCACAAAGCATGCCTTCCCTGATCCAAAGCTACCATGAGGATGGCTGACGTTCCCTATGTGCAATATATACTTTACGTCTGGTAACTGTAAACATTTTCTCGCTTTTAGTTCATGCTAGTTCATTAATTAGTGTCCCCTTTTAATTAGGCAGCTGGATATTGATGGTTCCAAATGGATTAGTTTGGTTGGGTGAGGGAATGTCACTATGGTTCTCAACATTTTCAAAAGAGCCAAGGCTTCTGCATATTTGTTTTCCTTTGTCCCTGTTATCTCATGCTTTGTGTAGCATCTTGCCTGAAAGCTGAGTTTTGGAGAACACAAAAGCTTGTTGCTATTTTGTGACATTTTGGTTGGTCCTAAAGAAAGTATTCTCCAACTGTGGGTTTTGGAATATTTGACTCAGTTATATCTCTGATGTGTGGTACTTTCAGCTTTGCAATTGCTCAGATTTCATTATTGACCTTTATAAAAGTGCAAACTATTGACATTTTACTGTGTTTCCCAAACATTTGTTAACAGAATCATTGAATTGTCAATCTAGTTGACTGGGACCCTCAATCTTAACATATGAGGGGGGGGCTAAACTCTGTTGTCTAAATTTTGAAAATGCTGTGAAAAGCAATCTGTCCATTTCTTTTCTGCAGCTTTCCCAAACTCACTTTTTTTCACTGTTTCCTGATATTTTAAACCTCTTTATTTCTATTTTCCCATATATGTTATGTCTTTATATAACAAGCCTTCAGGTAGGCCCCAAAGAAAGTACTTAATTTTAGGCTGCGTGTGTGTGTGTGTGTGTGTGTGTGTGTGTGAACTAAATTGAGTACTGAGTACACCCACCCACCTCAGCTTGGTCTATTTATATTTCAGTTACTCTGTGAAAGCACCATCATTTGCTTTAATGTCTCAATATTTCTTCATTCAGTTAATCAGTTTGGAAAGTTGGGCAAAGTGAACCTAATCCACCCAGACTATCTCAGGGTAAAACACTGGGTCCAGAGAGAAATTCTTTAAGGTGGTATAAAGGTGTACTTCTGTGGTTGTCTGTGATTATGATGTATGGTTAAAAAAGCCTTTTTGTAAGTTAGCTTTGCATGAGATCTTTTTGTAAGCTGGATGGGTGAAATACAAAAATTAAGTACAATAATCTGGACCCCTCTCAAATTAAACTATTTAATGCTATCAGTCCATACATACTACAATCCTCCATGCATCTGTGCAAGAAATATAGAGGTGGGCAGCTTGATCGTGTGGGTTGGACTTAACTGCTGTGGTCATTTGATCTATGGCAGCTAAAGTGGTTATAGCAAGTGTGGAGATGTCTTGCTACATTTCATTTCCTATTCTCCTCATCCTCAGTTCCAGGGCTGATAAACATCACATTTAATGGGACATAAGAAACTATAATATATCCTGTCCTCTTAAAATATATCCCCTGACACACCCTAGATCACACCCTGCATATAAGCCTTGATGGAGCAGCCCCAACCACCACTGACTTTACAGCACTGGCACTTGTGGGTTGCTATTAAAGCACAGCAACAGAAAGAACCAAGCCTTGATTTTTGCAGCAGATGTATTATAAACACAATCTGGTTTTTAGTTGGAAGTCCAGCACTGTGACTCATAGTGCCACAGATTGCTCAAGGTGCACACATACTTGTCATTTTCAGAACTATTCTAGGATGCTAGAACCAGACTTAAAGTAGCTGTCAGCTAGCGTAGCATCAGGGGTAATAGCCTGAGCTCAGCTACAGAAGCTGCCACTTCAAATCTCAGATCACTATGAACTACTTTCTGGCTCTGGGCAAGCCAGTCTTCTCTCAGCTTTGTGCCCCCTCCATCCTAATTACAATCAGCTAAGGAAGCTTGCCCTCTTCTAGTTTAAGGCCCCGAGACCACTATACTGCTCTGTAGCACTAAAATGTTCTTTGAAAGCCCTTGGTGTAAACTGAGGTTGTAGCGCTTTATTGATTAATCAGTTGGTCAATAGTCAGGCAGAAAAATTATATTATTTTTCAGTGTAAAAGCTGAATGTGGAAAGCACCATTTTAAACAGGTGTGCGCGCACACACACACACACACACACACATTCTAAGACTTTTCTATCTGGCCATTTAACATGGTTGGTTGTCATTGGGTTTCTTTTGCTCTCCCCCCCCTTTTTTGGCACAGTAGGTGCTTTTTTGAGGGGAGTCCTAAAAATGTACTTTTGCAAACCTTGGTTTGCAATGCAGATATCTCCCTCTTGTTTTGCAGTTATCTGGTTTTTGCTACATAACTATTGGCACGCAGCACCTGAGTTTTATATTAGAGGGAGCAATTGTGTCGCATGCCACTATTAAATATAGTGGTCATTTTAGCAGACTTTCAGCCAGTCAGAGATGCAGCATTTCAGAAAATTCATAAAGTGATTAATCTATTTACAGCTGCATGTACTGCAAATACAACATAAATTGCCAAATGCAAGTGAGACCAAACAGTGACAGAAAACAGAAAATGAAAAATAGACCTGGTATTTCAGGTTAGGTGCAGTAAATTACCATGTTATTCATTGAAATCTCTCCAGGCCCAGCTGCTCATATATCATCTGTCAATAGCCTAAATTCCATATATAAATTTATGTCATTTTTGTGTGCTGTCTCTAAATGTGCATTATTCTCAGAGGATGCTTGGAGTTGCACAAGTCATGTGATTCTGCAATATGGCTCATACTTTCACAAATCCCCCTAAAGAGCTAACCTACATTCCAAGGAAATGAATAGAGTACCCAGTTCCACCACTGGTGAAATATTAATTTGCAGGCAAATTTTTATCCCAGCATTATGACTTTAAACCAGTGGGGCTAAACAAGAATTCATGGTTTGTGGATGACTAACATACGCAGTAGAGGCTATTCCACTAGGGCTATTAGGGCACAGCCCTCCCAATGAGAAATTCAAGCAATTTTTAAGGACCCCTCCGCCCAAAAAAATCTCAAAGCCACATACTCTTTCCTGCCCCACACTCATTTTATAATTTCACGAACTTACAGAAGCTTGTGGAGGTTTTCTTTCACAGGAATAGATCCACCTTTTTATGACTGTAGCTTCTACAGGTGCGCCTGTCACTGGAAGTGTATTTCTAAGGTTCTGCTGAGACTTTTTACACCATCTCAGGGACAATTGGCTCTGGCCAGTACAGGAATATTGAGAGTTGCATGGCAGGCCGCATTTTGGATGCTTTTCCCCACAAGCCGAATAGAGGGTGAATAACACTTAGGACAGTGATGTGGGTGGAAATAACAAGTGTTATTGACTACAGTGAGGCAAGGGGGTGACATGACATTTGGAAAGGATCCATTAGCACCCAAGACTTCTGATCTCAAGCCCAATACACCTTCCCAGCACACCTGCTGGGGACTGTCCTGGGAGCTGACCAGTGTAGAAGGACCCAGTGTGGTGCATGCCATGGGGCTGGAGACTAACTGGTAACCTGAGATGGGTGGTGCCAGGCCCGGCCCACTAGGACTGGGAAATGGTGCACCTTCTCAAGACCCCTTGTGTGGGCCTCCCCCATGTTTATATCCTTCCCATTGCCATTTCCACACAAGATGTGGCAAAAGCTATGTGCAAAGTGCCTAACAGTCATGTGCTATCCACCAAGAAAAGGCAAAAAACCCTCTATCGATGGTCAATGGTTGCTGAGAGGAAAATTGCTTTCCAGCTCTGAAAACCAGTGGCCACTTAATGCCTTAGAGGAAGACTTTAAAACCAAGGGAGGGCTGGGAAATCTGGTCCATGTACAGTGGTACCTTGGTTTACGAACTTAATCCGTTCTGGAAGTCCGTTCTTAGACCAAAGCGTTCTTAAATCAAGGCGTGCTTTCCCATAGCAGCGGGGGACTCAATTTACAAATGGAACACACACAACAGGAAGCAAAACATGTTCTTATTCCAAGGCAAAGTTTACAAACCAAAACACCTACTTCTGGGTTTGCAGCATTCTTAATCCAACTTGTTCATAAACTAAGTTGTTCTTAAACCAAGGTACTTGAAGTGTGTGAGAGAAATCAATAGCGGAGCTGACCAGTGCTGTTAAAGGATCTGACATTCCACCCCCTCCCAAGAGCTCACCAGGGCCTATGAAAGGAGTAGTTCAGTCAGTAGACTGACTGAAGGGATAGCCCAGTCAGTAGAGCATGCGACTCTTAATCTCAGGTTCGTGAGTTCGAGCCCCACTTTGGGCAAAAGATTCCTGAATTTCAGGGGGTTGGACTAGAGGACCCTAATGGTCCCTTCCAACGCTACAGTTCTATGATCTATGAAATGAGAATGCCTGTGAAATCCCAGGTGGGAGAATTGGGGGACACTGGCTATTGTGGCATCGGTGCTGCCCCAAGGACTGGCACCTGCTCTTAATTCTTTGCTGGGCCACTCTTTCTATTTGGGATCTTCACACGGCGACACAACTCTACATGCTTGAGTTGATTGCAGTTCATGGCCCACTTTGAAAGCCACATATTTGGTTAATTGAGTGCAATATAAATACTGCAATAAATAAGTTGTTTCAGAAAAAGAGGCATTCATGATTTAGGACCATCTTGTCCACAGAGTGTTTATTTATTTATCTCATAGGATTTATACACCTCTTGATTGTAAAAACAAAAACAAAAAAAACTGAAAGTGGTTTACAAAAAACAAAACCGGAAAATCAAGAAAAATTGCAACCCTACTTTAAGACATACCAAAGTTAAAACACTATAACAGATTAAAATTGCATCAGCTTTTGAAGCATCTGGGTAGGCTTGTTTAAACAGTAATGTTTAAAGCAGGTGCTGAAAAGAGTACAGTGAAGGCACCTGCTTGATTTCAGTAACGTGTAGGCACTGCCACACTAAATGATCAAATTCTTACAACGGCGGAATTGGTGATTTTAATAGATGGTTGATTATCATTCAGAGATTTCTATCCTGGTCTTCTAATGCATTCACATTAATCAGAATGGCTTACTACAATCACAATGCCATAATCCAGAATAAAACAAAACAAAAAACAGTTCAGCAATATAAAAGCAGCCACAGTAGACACAAAAACAGGCTATAAAAAGATGGGTTTTCCCCCATAGTAGCTCATCTGTGCAGCACAACAAAAGCATAGCAGAATTTGGAAGAAGTCAAACAAAGCTCCTGATCATAAGGATCTGGCAGGCTGGCAAGGGAGGAGATGGCTCCTAAGGAGAGGATTAGTGAGAAAATAATTATCCCAGTACCTTATTCATAATATTTTAATGTTATGAATATGAAGCTATCGATTATTAAAAAAGGTAACAAAAATGTTATCATCTGTTCAGTAAATAGGAGGAAAGAACACATAACCTTTGCTACAATAGAATTGAACTTTTATGGCAAATTTAGTGCTTCTTCAATAATGAAAGAAAATCCAGAAGCAAATCTTTCTGTATACATATATACATGGATGAATGGAAAATTGAATCAATTTTTGCAATTATGAAAAGCACAAAAACACATGTTCTGTTTACCTAATGAAGTTTTAGACTATTTCATAAGAATGAATGTATTTTTTGGGCTAATCAACATTTTTAATATCTTCTACAGTATTGTTTAGATATTATTCAGTATTAACCAATATTATTCACCGACACAGCAATCAGTGCAAAAAATTAATAAAGCGAAGTTGTTTCATACCACCGGCTAAATTATTAAAAATGCTCCTTCCTCCGGTTGTAACTCAGAACTGTTGGCTGTAATTTTATTGTTCTAAATCTAAAGAGAAACAATTTTCTCCCTTGCTTACTGCAGTTTAATCCAGGCAACAAAGCTTCTTATCTATGAAGGATACAGTAATCTGAACTACGTCAAACTCCAGTGGCATCTGTCACATCTTTTAAAAATGAAAAAGCTTGCTGAGCTGGCGACTTTGATTTTATAGCAACAGGCAAAGCAGCCTCGCTCCAAGTCCAGTATAAATGGCTAATTGTCCTGGATAATATTGCAGTAGTAAAGAATAAACAAGCAGCCCCTTCCACTGAGATACTGGAGTTTGAACACAAAGTCTTATTTTTTCAGGGTATCATATCTTACATTCTATGAGAGCAAATCACATGCCTTTTTTAAGGGGAGCAATTGGAGAAGAAATGCCCCAGATGGGAACAGGGGTGTAACTAGCTGCTCTGGCACCCAGAGTGGCGGGGGCAGAGCAATCTGCATATGGGGCCCCCACAGTAAGTGCCGCCCCCGCAGTGTGCCATTTTGTCACCCCCTCAGGGATGACACCTGGGGCAGACCGCACCCCTCTTTCTATGCCCCTGGATGGGAATCACAGATGGAGGGGCTTCATCAACACTGATAATGAATATTTATAGATCGAGATTTCCCATTAAACAACGTTTGCTTTATTTTTGTAAGCTGTTTAGAGGGTCTATTTACAGTCATTTTGTTAAATAAACAATAAAATAAAATAGCTGTCCATTGTTGACAACTCTCCACCTCCACCCAAGAAACACAATCCCACTTACTTGTCTTATGTAATGGGGAAATTCACAGGGCAAATTCTGCTATAGGGAGGCAATATCCTTTTGCCATGAATTAGCTAGATTAAACATACCTTAAAAACACAATGCAGTTGGTAGCTAGGGCATCACCAATTACATTAATGTTTCAAAAGTTGAATCAGCTACTCTCACGCCTCATCCAAAATAGCAGCTTCCCCCCCACCCCCTGCTTTAATTCTTCCTGCCTTTGCTTGATGGAATTAAGTGGCCAGGCCAAATAGATTGTCTGAAAGAGATAATTGCAAATCAACTTTGGGATCAGTTGCTTCTGTTTGACTGATCCTGCTTGGGTTTTTGGCCAGCACCTGATATTTCAGACTGTAAGTTTAGTTTCAGAGTGGTTGAAGACAATGAACTGAGGCCTGTACAGCAGATTGTATCCAGTCTAGGTCTGAGACACAGCAGAACAGAAACTGAGATGGGGGCTGCCTGAGGTTGATCTTACTGAATAGGCTTGATAGTGGGCATGAATCCCCCCCCCTTTTTTCCATTGATCCTGCCTTGTTTTATAGATACGCCATATGTTGATTATTTTTGATACCATCCTTTTCTCTGTCTAGTTCATACTTGTGTACTTTAAATCTTGATCCAGTCCCTCCTGTCAAAAGAGATTAGTAGATTTTGGCATTCCACGGGATGAGAAGATACTCACTGATAGCTTGTTTTCCCAGATGAGGGTGTATTCTTTATCCCCATCAGAAATGTCTTAATCAGGTCAGATAACAACAGCTGTCTGGACATCCTCTCAAGAGACAAAAGCTTCTGCTCAAAATTCTGTCTGTATGAAGAAAGGAATGGTTGTTTGGTGCTCACAAAGGTTACAAATTTATTGTGAATGGGGAGGAGGATAGTTTTCAAAATTTAGATCCAAGCCACATTTGATTAACTTCTGTCACCTAGAAGCAATTATCATAATCGGTCTCAGCTCCTTTTGCTAGACTTCAGGATGCACAATTTTTTTCTATTTATAAAAGTATTTCTCTACCGTCCTCTTGCAAAACATCAGGTACAACAACATTTTTTAAAGCGATACAAAGCATCTATGAAACATGTAGTCAGAGAGACTATATATAACTATAAAAGAATCTATATTCTTTTGGAAGCCAGAGACCAGTCAAGGTCCAGAATGACCTACCACTACCAACTCAGTATGTGAGGACACGTGGCAGCCTTCCCCATATGCCTCTAGAACAATGATGGACAGACAACCTTTGGCCCTTCAGATGTTGTTGAACTCACATCAGCCCCAGCCAACATGTCCAAAGACCAGGGATTATGTTGGAATCTGACATTATCTGGAGGGCCACAGGTTTCCCGTCCCTGCAGTATCCCATTATGAGGGTGGAGCCTTTTTCTTTTAAACAGTAAATAAATAGTAAAGAGTACTTGGGAGCCAATGTGGTGTAGTGGTTAAGATCAGTAGTCTCGTAATCTGGGGAACCGGGTTCGCGTCTCTGCTCCTCCACATGCAGCTGCTGAGTGACCTTGGGCCAGTCACACTTCTCTGAAGTCTCTCAGCCCCACTCACCTCACAGAGTGTTTGTTGTGGGGGAGGAAGGGAAAGGAGAATGTTAGCCGCTTTGAGACTCGTTAAATGGAGTGAAAGGCGGGATATCAAATCCAAACTCTTCTTCTTCTTCTTCTACTACTTAATGTAATTGTTTATAAGGAAACAGTTGAAGACAAGGTCAAAACCAAGTGATTTACTTTAATAATCTCTCTCCAGAGGATTATTGCATCTATATACTATATTGATTGGACATAAGCACCATGGCTTTAAAATAGGAAAAAAGAGAGGAAAATCAGCTGTAAGCAGGTCAGAAAGTTGGTTATGGGCCAAATGGCAGCTCTTGCATTCACATATACATATCATAGTCTAAGCAAGATGCTTTGGATGACTAGTGGCAAAAAGCACATCCATTTATTAACACTATAATATAACAAATGAAGCATGATTTGATATACATATAGGTATAGATATACAGTGGTGCCTCGCAAGACGAAATTAATTCGTTCTGCGAGTTTTTTCATCTTGCGAATTTTTCATCTTGCGAAGCACGGTTTCCCAAGGTCTTCAAAATCACCAAAGTCTTCAAAAACCTGAAAAAAGGCTACCACACCGCGTGCTATGAGTTGCTCCTCGAAGTCACCCTGGGTATTAACGGTTTTAAGAAAAAGGAAACAAACTTGCAAGACGTTTTCGTTTTTCGTCTTGCTTCGCAAGCCCATAGGGAAATTCGTCTTGCGAAGCAACTCAAAAAACGAAAAACTCTTTCATCTTGCGAGTTTTTCGTCTTGTGCGGCATTCGTCTTGCGAGGTACCACTGTAGATAGAGACAGAGATATAGAGATATAGAGATATGTAGGCACCTCCCTACTTCCAGGCTCCCACGTGCATAAGTGAAATCATGTAAAATGGGGAGCAGCCCATTTAATACAGAGGGCGCATGGGGAGGAGAGAGAGACCCTAAAAATCAGTTAGGGCCACTGCCCAGCCTTTCCTCAACCTGCCTGCCTGGCTGAGGGGAGCCAGTGTGCATGGTGGCAGCTGGCCATGGAGGGCAAGGGCTTATAAGGGCACAACAGAACTGGTGCTATGACCTAGCATACAACACCAGCCTAACTTAACACTGGCTTCCCATACATGGGATTGCTCCCTTGAGCCATTTTTGGGAT